CAAAGATAAAAATAATTAGCGTATAAGTTTCTACTTCTTAAGTTAGAAAAAAAAAAAAAAAAGAAATGTGACAATGAAATCACCGAGAATTCGTCCAAGTTTTCCGATTAAACATTCTCTGTTTCGATACGTTGCAGGAAAACTATTTATTTGTCTCATCCGACGATTGGATTTGATCCACTATTGCAGACTTTTTCCCGATAATTTGCATTCCCCTCCGTGAACGAGTCTTCCAACTATAACTTCGAACAACGAGACCTAAATCACACGTCAAACGCATTTCTACTCGCAATCGAACTTATTATTATTCCATTCTCGACAAACGCTATCACGAACTATACGATGGCCATAATGAACTGCGGGATTAATTGCATTTTTCCGTATTTTCGCTTAAGAACTTTTGCTTTCTTCAATTACTAGAAATTGCTCAAAATGAAACGTCTAAAAATTCGTAGATCACCTTATATTACTTCTTTGATCTATTAACATTACTTTCCAAAATTTTAGTTTCTCCGCCCAACTATCCAAAGTTGCTCAATATAAAATATCCACAAATTCCTAGACCAGCTTATATATATAATTTCATTGATCCGTTGACATCGGATTTGAAAAATCTGCCAACGGTGGAGCCGCAGCAAACATCAATTTTGAGGCGGTTCTCCGACAGAGTACACAAACTCTCCGCCTTTTCGCGGCACTCCAGCAAGCGCGTTCATTCATTGGAAACTCGCTTTCACGGAACTTTTTCCTTTAGCCGTGTGGCCATCGTGAATTTTCATCGGTGTATGGATTTCAGGAGCGGCAGCTGAAGCTGGTAAAGTCAACAGACGTCGCGGCATATCAGAAGCTTCGGGGGATGCGAAAACCGGAGGACGATGTCGATGAGACCGGCCTGGGGGCCGAAGTTGTTTCTCATGCTGGTGACGACCACGATCGTTATCGGCAATTATCACCGTCACCGCGAGAGGACTCATTTGCGCGAGCAGCTCGTTAACGGCCACAAAGTGACGAGGAACATCACGCGATTGCAAGGTGAGTCCCATTCAGACGCTTAACGGGGAACTGTTCGATTTCGTAGTTTGCATCGCGCTGCCGTTCCTAAGTTTAATCGTATTGACATACATTCGAGGGAATTTCATATTCGATGTATAATACATTAGTCCTGCAAATCAAAGATCTGAGATCGCGGAATCTAAGGCAAAGTACAGTAAATTCTCCACAAGTGTCAGTCCGCAAGGAACCTAAACCTGACACTTGTAGAGTCAGGGACTACGTTTTCTAGCCTCGCGCCCGCCTTTGTAGTTTGCCGAACGTAGACAAGGATAGCGAATAAAAGATAAGGATGAAACGTGTTTTTATCCCGAAATTTTTCTTAACATATTGATGAGATTTTTCTGATGAAAATGACATCAAACACGACATAATTTGAACTTTTTTTAATTTTTTAATTTTTAAAACACCGAAATGAAAAATTCGTCTCTGGCCAAACGCGTTGCATGCTAAAATCTTCCGCGGTGAAAGGATTAATACTCCTCAATTACTTCCATCGAACTGCCTGTCTAAAATCTGAATATTAAATTTCTTCCGAAACCGCCTAAAAAAATCAATTCTCCGAAACTTCAATTCCCGATAACGAACCCGTTAAGATTCCCGAAAAGTTAATCCAGCGGAATAAAAGGTTCGTATAAACGGAAAGAATCGCGGGAGCGAGATGTTCCGCGAGTAAATAGAAGCGGAATTGACAGTCATAAAAGCAATTTCGACCACGTCAAAGACTGAACAAGTACGGAGAGGTGAACACATCCGCGAACGTAGCAGTTGATTTTCGGTTGTTCGAGGAAAAAGGATCGAGCCAGGGTGAAAAACGAGGTGAGAACGTCTCGTCGCGTCGTTTTCAATAACACCGACCCCAGTTCTGCGTCCGACGCGTATGTTTCACCGTGTATTCACGAATTTATCGGCGCTTTACTTGCCGTCAAATTTACCGTCAGATTGTTTCGCGTCAGTCCTGGGAACCGGAGCGACAACGATGGAAATACGCTCGAACAACTTCTTAACCCGCTTCCGTTTTATCGAGCGTTCTCCCGCGGTCCCTGGATGTTAGCCCTTTTGGGAAATTTTTCCTACCGTCCGAAGTGCTTAAAGGTGAATCTCAACTTGGAAATTGCTGCTATTTTATGAAACTTTTTTATGCAAAAGTTTTTCAACTTTGCGAGACCTTGCGCTGCAATTCTTCCCCCCCCCCCCTTTTTTTAATTATGGACTTTACATCGCATCTGACGGTAGGTCATTAGCGACGAATTTAAATTAATTTTGTCGTTTAAATAACTTATGGTGTTTTTTATTTGGGAAGTTCGGTAATTTAAAAAGATTTTTTAGAAATTGAAAGTTTGCAGAAACGTAGTTCAGTTGACGCTAATAACAAAACAATTTTTTCTTTCGGTAATAAATTAGTTCTAGGAGTGGAAA